CCCAACAATCCTAGATATTTTCAGTTGTTTCCACTCATGCCTGTTAAAAGAACCCAAAGAATTTAATTACAGCCACAGTTTTTACTGTGACGCTTCAGAGTAGGATAACTCTCAAAGTACAAAAACTTGAGAAGGTTCCATAAATGGCATTTAGGCCTATCCAAATAAAAGCTTAGGCTAAGATTTTCAAAAGCTGCTAGTGATTCTGGGTGCTCAACTTGAGACATCTTTATGAAAAAAATTCCAAGTACCTGCCCTCTAAAAATCAGGCCCCTTTAAGGTGTCAGATACTTTAATATTGAGGTTCAGCGAGTGGGGACGTTGCTGAATCCCCATATTCTTCATTTCCAGACTTTTAATCATTTTTTAAGGTGTGGAATTTTTATAAACTGTAATATTATTTTGCGGGCTGAAAAACATTTTCTACTTTAACTCTTTTTGAACTAAGTTTTTCTCTTGTATGAATATACTAAATCTGTAATATTGAACAACTCCCAGATTGGCTTTTACTCTAGAAAAATCAGAGAAAACTGTTGCTGAAATGGCAGCTTGACTTTTCTCGGCGTGTGTGCATGATGGAGAAGGAGGGAAGGGGAACCAGTTTAAAAATGTCACTTCCTCCTTCAACTCCTTACTGTCATCTGCCACTCACTCCCACTGCCCATTTTTCCTCCCATTCCCACAGATGCATAAGTGTGCCCTTTCCCTACCAATGTATCCCCCCTCAAACCCAGTGGGCATAAGGATTATGTAGGCTGACAGTTTACAAAGGTCTGACTAGTCAATTCCACATCTTTGAATTATCAGAGTCCCCCAGCTATATGCTTTATATTATAGAAGATAAAAAAATAAGGAACATGTCCCACTCAAACTAATACAGAACAATACAGTGTGTAGATCTTACAGGACTCTTTCATGAATAAAGCCTGTCTGGTACCTTCAGATAGATGCTGGCGTTGTTGTTTGAAAGATGATGGGCACTTCTTTTTTTCCAACCTACTCAATGTAATGGCGGTACACATTTGCCTTTTTTTAAAAAGCAATATACCATTTAGAGTCCTTTACAATTGGGCCTTGGTGTGTGGCTGTGAAATCCCAAACTGGCCAACTTGTCCAAAGCCACATTCTCATTGACCAACTAGTGTCCAAAGATTTACTCTAATGATTTTTCTGATCCTCCAACTGTCATCACCATTTCAGTCTACAATCCGAACACATGTTGAGGCAACATGTAGTACATAGCAGCATATTGCAGGAGAGCTAATAAGCATGGAGGGATTTTTAACGTAACAGATACCAGGGACATGATCCTATTGCAGATAACAGCAACAGATAACTGAGGTTAAGATGACCAATCAAGAACTGTATTAACTTGACATTCCTCTGGCCTCTGCTTCCTTTCTATAAACATTAGCCGTATCTTTTGGGTCAGTAAATCTTGATGTTCTCCTCTGCAAGAATTAATATCGGCTTACCATTGTCAGACTTCCCTATAATTGTGTATCAATAAAACACTTAAGATTTTACAATGCATTTTTTTAAAACGTTTTACAGTTTTCTCTGTTAATTATTAAAGACCCTTTGTACATACAAGCTTTTTTATGTAAAGACTGTGTGTTCTAATGGAAGAAAACTCACAACTGTTGTTATATCTTGGTTCCAAATCTTCAATAATAGCTCGTTTCCTCTGTATTTCATTGTTAGCCTCATGCAGCTTCTCCCTGTTACAAATTGTGAAAAGATACATTATTGTTCCAACACTCTTCTCCATCTCAAATGAAAATTAAGCAATAAAAAAATTCCATGTTCTACAATTCTGGGAAATTATAACAAAGCTGACTTTTGGCTGTGAGGCAGTAGGGCATGTTGAGTGATATCAATGAACAAAGAATGGAACTGTTTAAAAAACAGAAGAAAAAACATTACTGTATATGCACAGTTGTAACATCAGAAAGCTCCATTCTCAGTCCAAAATTCTACAATTATTTTATAATTTACAATAAGCTGTACAAAGCCTGCTTGTAATACATAATTTTGACAGCTATGATATTATTAAAGACTGGCTAACCCCCCACAACACCCCAAAGAGAGGCTATACACTTCTTGTAACCCAGTAGGTCATCATATGAGGAGGTTACTTACCTGTAACTGGAGGTTCTTCAAGAAGTGTGGTCCCTATTTGTATTCCATACCTGGGTGGCATGTGCACCATGCACCTGAGTCCGGACGTATTTCTAGCAGTGTCCACTGACCCGTATGTGTTTGCAGCCGAGGGTATAATAGGTTGTGCGGGTCGACGCCTTTCCAGTATCCCCTTACCTCTGTGCAGGCCGGTCTGCAGCAGAGGGGATGGTGGGCGGGCATTGGAATACAAATAGGGACCACTTCCTCCTCTTCTTCTTCGAGTGATGGTCCCTACACATATTCCATATGTGGGTGAGTAGGAAGCAGTGATCAGTGTGGAGGTGGGTGAGAGGATGCGATGGGAAGTGCAGTCTGCAGTATGGCTTGGCCCACAGCAGTGTTCATAGCCACTGCTTGTGCAATGGTGTAGTGGGACGTGAACGAGTGGAAAGAGCACCAGGTTGCTGCACAACAGATGTCTTGCCACAAGATGTCCGTGCGGCAGGCCAATGTGGCTGCTTGTGCTCGTGTACAGTGGCTGTGACTACATCTGGTGGTGGCATGTTGGATCATACTTAGGATTCGTGGATGCACCTGAAGACCCATTTGGAGATTCATTGGGAGGAGAGGGCTTGGCCGTTGGATCGGTCGGCAATGGCCACAAATAGTTTTGGCGATGAGTGAAAGGAGCGAGTCCTGTGGAGGTAGACCGGCACTTACATGGCAGACGTCGAGGGAGTGCAGGACCCTGTCCGAGTGGGAGGCATGTGGTTTGGGGCAGAAAACAGGTAGGTGGATGCACTGATTTAGGTGGAACTCTGAAACTACTTTTGGAAGGAATTTAGGGTGTAGCCACAAGGAAACTTTATCCTAGTGGAATACGGTGTGTGTGTGGGGGTGTGTGTCTGAAATCACGGTCACCAGTTCACTGACCCGTCTAGCTGAGGTAATGGCTACTAAGAATGTCGCCTTCATGGAGAGGTGGGAGAGGGAGCATGTTGCCAGAGGCTTGAAGGGTGCTTTGTGAGGGCAGAGAGAATGAGATTAAGGTCCCACGGTGGTGGCGGTCTTCAGTACTGGCAGGAAGGTTTTGAGTAGACACTTCATGAAATGGACAGCAGTAAGGTGTGAAACATGGAAGCGCCATCCACAGGGGGCAGGGGGAGGAGAGGAGGAGGAGAAAGACATGAAGCGCTGCCAGGTGGACCTATAAACAGCTGAGGGCAAGACCTGATGTTTTGAGATCGAGAAGGTGGCTGAGGATGATAGGTATAGATATCGCACTGTTGGGTGGTGATGACAGTGAGCCCATACGGTGAAGTGTTGTCATTTAGCTTGGAAGCAGGCCCAAGTGGATGCCCTCCCTACTTTGGTTAAGAATGTGTCGCACTGGTGTGCTCTGTCTACAGTTGAGCCGCATCCAAAAACCAGGCCGAGAGGCAAAGAGGGCCCGGATTGGGGTGCTGGCACTGATCCTGTATGAGGAGATCCAGGAGTGTTTGGAGGCAGAGTGGTGTGTGGGTGGAGAGTCTGAGGAGATCCGTGAACCAAAAATGACGGGGCCAGAATGAGGCTATGAGTATTATGGTAGCTCGGTGCTGGTGGATCTTGCGTAACACTTGTGGGAGGAGGGGAATGGGGGGAAAGACGTAGTGGAGGTCGCTTGTCCAGGGGAGGAGAAGAGCATTGCCCTGCGAGTCGTCTCCCATGGCCCCTCTGGAACAATAAAGGGGCAGCTTTAAGTTCTCACGAGTAGCAAACAGGTCCCATCACCAGATGTCCCATTTGTGGAAGAAGTATCGGAGTGTGGCATTATGTAACTCCCATTTGTGGTTGAGAGAGAATCCTGTGTGAAGGAATAGGGGTTCTGACTCGGGCCACGCGGCGGTAAGAGGGAACTGAAGAGACATCGGCCTGCACACCTTATTATATCCTTGCCTGGAACACAAGGGGACGCACTACGTACGTGTGGGTCAACGGATACTGCTAGAAACACTTCTGGATTCAGGCACATAGTGTGCATGCACATATACGTATGGAATACATATAGGGACCACCACTCGAAGAAGAACTTTAGGTAACAACTGCAGTTCAGAAAAGTGTAAAATTAAGACAAGTGCATAAATGGTAAAACAAAATGATCACATTTATTAAGATGTTATCTTTTATTCTGTTTGTCGTGTTGTAACCCTGTTGGTCCCAGGATATGGGAGAGACAAGGTAGGGGAGGGTAATATCTTTTATTGGACCAAGTTGTGTTTGTGGTAGGTACAAGCTTTTGAGCTACACAGAGCTCTTCTTCTGCTCTGGAGAAGGAAGCAGAGTATTTGAGTTAAATAGAAGTTGAGACAGACTGTTAAAGCAGATGGGGTAATGACTTTTGGAGGTGGTCACTTGAAATGAAGTAGGCAACTGGGAGTTAGATTGGTTATGCATGAAGGGTAGTAGGCAGTGTGCTATGTTACAGTTTGTTGTAGAGAGTCATAAAATCACTGTCCCTGTTAAGTTAATGGTTTTTGGTGTTCAGCAGAGTTCTGATTTTAAGTTCCCAGGCTCACCTTTTGAAGGTGTTGTGCAGGTTTCCTTTGAGGACAAGTATTGAAAGATCAGATATGGAGTGATCACTTTGTGAAAAGTGTACGTCCACAGATATTAGGTTTTTTTAACATTTTCCTGTGAGAGTCCACTGAAGAGCGTAGTCAACATCTGGTTTCACCCACATACTTATTAGGTATTCGATGCACTGGATAAGGTACACCATCTGTTCTGATAAGCATGCACAGGATCCATGAATCTTGAAAGCTATGTTATGGGGGGTATGATATCTCCCCTGCTGTGTGTCTGCAGGTTTTGCATCTGTTTTTCTGGCAGGGTCTGGTGCCGCTGTTAGTTGGTGCGTTCTGGTCTGTGGGGAGCTGCTTCTGATGATGAACTTCACAAGGCTGGGGGTAGTTTGAAGGCCAGAAGAAGGGGTTCAGGAAACATTTCTTTCAGGATGTAGTCCCTATCAAATATGGGTTGTAACTGTTTGAAGATACCCCGTATGGGTTCCAGTATGGTGGTAGGTGACAACTAGGGATGTGCAGTCAGTGTGTTTTTTTCTGTACTAAAGCAGGTTCTCTTGGGATATTTGGGAGGCTCATTCCATTATGTGATCTACTTCTCTGGTGGAGTGTATTTGTTTAGTGAAAGCAGATTATAGTGTGTTTAGTTGTGTAACCCAGACTCTTTCTTCTGAGCAAAGTCAGTGGTATATGAGTGCCTGGCTGCAGATAACAGATTTTTTGTTATGTCTGGGTGGTTGCTGGATCTGTGGAGGTAAGTGTGGTGATCAATGAATTTCTTGTATATGGTCATTTGTAGGATTCCATTGTTTGAACTAATTGTGGTGTCCAGAAAGTCAAGAGAGTGTTCTAGAGATAGTTTGATGGTTAGGTGGTGGTGGTTGAAGTTGTGGTGGAAATCTATGAGGGAGTTTAGGACTTCTGTCTAGATGATGGAAATGTCATCTATGTATCGCAGTTATATCATTGGTTTCATGGTGCATTTTTCCAGATATTTTTCCTCGAAGTGGCCAATGAAGAGGGTGGCGTATTGGGAAGCCAATTCTAGTACCCATGGCTGTTCCCATGGTTTGGCCGAAGTGTTCATTGTTAAATTAAATTAAATTAAATTAATGGAGATATCCCATCTCCTAGAGCTGGAAGGGACCTTGAAAGGTCATCGAGTCCAGCCCCCTGCCTTCACTAGCAGGACCAAGTACTGATTTTGCCCCAGATCCCTAAGTGGCCCCCTCAAGGATTGAACTCACAACCCTGGGTTTAGCAGGCCAATGCTCAAACCACTGAGCTATCCCTCCCCCCCCATGGAATTGTTGTGGGTGAAGATGACATGGATGTGTTTTGGGTGGATTTCCAAGCATTGTCCATTATCTTGTTGGTATTTGAGGTAGGCAGCAATGCTGTCATGGTGAGGGATGTTGGTGTATAGGGAGGTGACATCCATGGTATTCAGGGGGAGGTTGTTAACGTGGAGTTTCTGCAGGCTAGAGTTCCCTGTAAGCTGCGCGGCCCTGGAGCAGCCTATTAAGCGCCGTGCTGGTGCTCAGGGCTGCAGCAGGGAGAGATGCCTCTCCCCAGCCCTGGACCTGCCACGGCTGGGAGAGAGGCATCCCTCTCCTGGCACCAACCCAGCCTGGACCTGCCGCAGCTGGGGAAGAGGTACCCCTCCCTTTTCCCCTCCCCCAGCCTAGCCCCAGACCTGCTGCGGCCGGGGGAAAGGCGCCTATCCTGTGGCCCCAGTGCCAGAGCTGCTGCAGTGTGGAAAGGCGCCTCTCCCCCCCAGCCCAGGTGCTGCTGTGGCGAGAGAGAGCTGTGGGGAGTTCTGTCCCTCCGCCATAGCCCCGGGACAGCCTGCACACCAAATCCCTCATCCCGGGCCCTGCCCTAGAGCCCACACTCCCCTGCCCTGAACCCCTCATCCTACTTCATTTAAAGTGACCGCTCCCAAATGCATTACCCCTTCTGCTTAACAATCTGTCCCAGCTTGTATTGAGCCCAGACACTCTTCTTCCTTCCCCACACATAAAGAAGAGAACTGTGCTTGAAAGCTTGTACCTTCCACCAACACAAGCTGGTACAATAAAAGCTATTACCTCACCTACCTTATCTTTTATTATATAATGCAGTGGCTCTCAACCTTTCCAGAGTACTGTACCCCTTGCAGGAGTCTGATTTGTCTTGTGTACCCGCAAGTTTCACCTCACTTAAAAACTACTACAAAATCAGACATAAAAATACAAAAGTGTCACAGCACACTGTTACTGAAAAATTGCTGACTTTCTCATTTTTACCATATAATTATAAAATAAATCAATTGGAATATAAATATTGGACTTACATTTCAGTGTATAGTATATAGAGCAGTATAAACAAGTCATCATCTGTATGAAATCTTAGTTTGTAATGACATCGCCAGTGCTTTTTATGTTTCCTGTTGTAAAACTAGGCAAGTATCTAGATGAGTTGAAGTACCACCTGGAAGACCTCTGCATTCCCCCAGGGGTACATATGCCCCTGGTTGAGAACCACTGCTATAATGTATACTTCAGAGTGGACAAGTAAATATTGTTTATATTAAAGTGCTTTCTTCAGGGCAACATGAACTATTCCTCTTGATTTAAGCTTTACAAAATTTTAAATCAAATTTTTCTAATACCACAAAATCATTATTCTTCCTTAATTATTTTTCTCTATAAGATGTAAATAATACTTGAATAATGGCTTCCTTAGGTATATTTAGCTGTCTACACTTCTGTTGCTTATATATCTTCCAAATCATTAATGAGTGACTACCTTCCCGCCACTGGCTAAGCATTCTCCAGTGTACAGAAAGTCAGTATTTTTATTTCATTATTACAAAAAAAATACTGGAAAGTTTTATTACTTACAGATGTTCTTCAAGCTTCTTTTTCAGAAGAACTGACTAAAATAGAAAGTTAAGTGTGTTAATTATTTTAAAACATTGTGGAACTTGAGATTATATCAGTTACGGTGAAATACATAATTTTACATTTATACCAAAGCTGCCATATTTTCATTGCATTCTGTTTATACCAAACATTGACAGCAGTTCTCTATGGTACTGTAGTAATTATCCTTCCCTTGACAGTTATATGATCATACTGAAGTTAGGATGCTTTACAAACATTTCTCTGAAATTGGATCAATACTGAATAGATCAATTTATTAGAAAAACAATTCTATTTCATTTGTTTTCTTTTCTCCATGCTCTGGTATGCTTGCAGGTTAATCCAAACTTCTTTATCTGAAACTAAAAGACAGTGCGGCAAGCTTTCCTGAAGAGTTGCACTACTAAAGCATTAAAGAAACATCAGATTAAGTCTAAAACCCTGGCCCCAACTGTGGAAATTTCACCACTGATTTCAGTAGGGCCAGGAATTCAGCCTCAATGGTTTTTCTCCCTGTTCTTTGTTCTCATGTCTTTATTGTTTGACTACAAATGCACAAATATCTCACACCCGTGGTGTCCTAAGCTATACCTCGTGGTTAAGTCACAGCTGGATAAACTTTTTTTTTTTAAAGCTTCAAAATAAGTTTTCATTTGTGACAAAATGTCACTTTACATATTTAAGCATCTCATTTTTTATCAATGCCTAAAACATGATAGTGTTAAGGAAACAGAAAGCCATACTCACAATAGCCTTGAGCAGAAACCCATGCCAAGAGACAGAGAGAACATATTAGTATGAAGCAAAAACAGCAGCCAAGAGAAGAAACTATTTAACTCATGAACAGAAAAAGTTAAAACTATTCATTGGGGGAAAGGGGAGGGGGGGAAATATATGCACATTTTCCCTTCCTCTCTGTACTTAGTCGTTTCATTATCCTGTCTCATTTTCTGGGGACTTTTAGAAAGCTAGCACAAATTATCCATACTGCATTCAACTGTGTGGGTATGTCTACACTGCAGTCTGACACCCGGGGCTGGCCCGTTCCAGCTGCAGCCTGTGTCTGGAAGTCTACACTGCAATGAAACAGCCCCACAGTCCGGGCGCTGCGAGCCCGAGTCAGCTGTCACAGGCCTGCTGTGGGTTTTTATTTGCAGTCTAGACGTACCCGATGAATGCTTTTCTGCCTCCACACTAAAAACAAACAATATAAAAGTAGTAAAGAAGCAAATACGTGAACCAGCATACTCAAACTAGAATTTCATAGGAGAGTAGTTGCTGTTTTTAAGAGTCATTTTGAAGGTGTGCCCATGATGTGACAAAACAGTCAAACAAGACATAGTCTGTTGGATGGGCCTGTGGGCCATGATGTAGAAAAATATTTATTTTGGGGAGGGTGACTTTGAGCAGAGCATCTCACGTCAAATTAATCTGCATTTCTATTTTCCATTCACACTGATTATCATTCTATACAAGCCAAACAATGTCAGCTCTTTGGGGAAGAGACCACCTTTTTGTTCTGCTTGTACAGCGCCTGGCACAATGGGGTCCTAGTCCTTGACTGCGGCCACTAGGCACTACTGCAATTCAAATAATAATAACCAGCAAAGGTACAATGATGAAGTCGCTGCTCTACCTCCAAATTCCCCTCAACAGGGGATTAACTACACAGCCAAATATGGACCATTTAAGTGCAGTCCAAGAAAAACTCTCAGCTGGGCTAAGCATTTTAAAATACTGTTTTTACACTCACTCTCTTCCTTGTCTCTGAGGATAGGCTCTGATTATTTCAGAGTAGGACTTTCTTGATATGCTTCCTATTCTGGCAAAAGGTTGTGTGGGCCAGCTGTTCAAGTGGTACAAATTGGTGAAAATCCAACTTCAATGGCGTTACAACAATTTACACCAACTAAGGATCCAACCCTGTGTGGTTTTTGGTTCCTTCATCCTTGGAATTTTTCCTTTTACTTTCGCAGTCTCTGTACCAACTGTAATGGAAGACAGGCAAATGGCTCCTTTAAACAACTGTTACAAACTGTTGTATATATCACCTGGGAAAGGAGATATGGTATAGTCACAAGGTATTTTATCCCTGGACACTTAGGATTCAATTATTCCCATTGATTTCAAAGAGGAAGGATCAAGCCATTAGTAGTGTCTAGTCTCCTTCAGGTCTTGGGAGTAGAAGACTAAACCAAGATTCAAATCTGGGTGTCCCACTTAGTGCTCTGATCAGTTATGTAGAGACCACAAGTGGCCGTTTGACTGAGTTGATTTTGCCTGCATGCACTTGCTTTTATTTTTATTACTTGCGCAACAACAAAGATGTGAATTGTGCTTTAGAAACACAATTAAGATAGGTTTCTACTGTAAAGGACATGTAATCTCATTTGGATAGATACAATATAAACAATAACAAGAAGAGGTGCAAAGGTGAGAACTGAGTTGTACTTTATCAGTGATGGAAGATTAGGCAAAAGGATGCATTATGCATCCTATGCTTGAGTTCTGTATTGCACTGTAGTGAAGCTGATATTTATATGGCACATTTTACCCATTCTAGATTGCTGCATATACCTACAGCACTATATAAAGTTTTCAGGGACAGTAACGAATATATTTGAGTTAAATAACTACGTAAAGAAGTGATGTGCTACAAAAATGTATAGCAAACCCTTTTAAAGGGCATTGCCAAGTTGAAAAACACATTTCTGTCTCAAAATGTTGTACCTATTGTTGTTACAAGTAACCCTTACGATTACTATACTGAATAGGAGGAAAAATTCATTTTCTCCATTTAAAAATAATTGACATTGACATCATCCTCTTAATTTTTTGAAAGTTTCACAATTGTTTGCCATTAGCCCTGCTCAAAACCTTCATCCACAATAACAGAAATCTCCCTACAGCAGCTAGCAAACTCCCACCAGCTGTTTTGCCTTTTTCTCCCATGTGGGAAACAGTTTATTCATTTATGATAAATACTCAAAGGTAATTAGAAGTCAGTTTTATCCTACTGTCATTACACAAAAAGCATTTGTAATCTGAAACACCTGTACACAATTATCATAAAAAAAACTCTGGCAAAAATATTCAGGAGGTGGATTTAAAAAAAACAAAACATTTAATAACTAATTTATCTCTATCTCAAAAAATATTAGGGAAAGAAAACTGCTTTGCCAGTGATTTCTTACCTGTATAAAGAAACAACGGAAAAAAATTCCCAGGTAATTCTGTTTTGCCCTGCACCCTCAAAATGAACTATTTCTGTCTCCATGTGGATCACATGTTAGGAGTGCATGTACTGGGTTTGCACAAGTGCCTGACTTCAGAAATAAACAATATTTTTACTGCTTTATGGGACAGGCAATGGAACTACTTAAACTTACAACAAACAATAATAACAACTAAAAAACATCACACATTTCCGCATGGTTTACAATACTGATCTTCCAATTTTCCAGGTCCACCAAGAAAAATTTTGGCTTTGATCCACGTAACCGAGGGCACAGAGTAGGTCTTCGAACCACATAATGGCACAGACCTACCTTCAAAATAAATTATCTACACTACTTATTTTAAAAAAAATTATTCTATATATGAAACCTATAACTAATGATAGGTAAGTATGGTTTATTTTGGTGTAGTTTACACTGGTAAAAATTAGATTAAGCTAAATTAACATAAGAAATTCAAAGCAAAATAAGCAGCGACATAAAAATTTGCACTGGTTTCACAAAGGGCTTGTCTCCACTTACAGTGGACCGACGCTGCGGCGATCGATCCACCGGGGGTCAATTTAGCAGGTCTAGTGAAGACCTGCTAAATTGACCACCAATCACTCTCCCGTTGACTCCGGTACTCCACTGGAACGAGAAGCATAAGATAAGTCGATGGGAGAGTTTCTCCCGTCGACCCAGAGCCGTGTAGACGCTGCAATAAGTCGTCTTAAGGTACATATCTGGAGTTGCATAACTTAGGTCTACTTAGCCCCGTGGTGTAGACCTGCCCTAAGTCTGCTTTAAAACAATAACAGTGAAGAAGAAAGCAACAGCTTGAAGACTTGCGACTATGGGTTAGAAAGCAATATACATTTGGATATGCAAGAGAGCATACACACAACCCCAAAGGTTACTGCTTTCTAGACAGCTCTGGAGCTTGTGGCTTTTAAAGCATGTGCTCTCAAAAGTGGAGATCTCCAAAAAGAATTCTCAATGGAGAATTTTAAGCTATGGCTCCACAGCAACTGTACCTTTTCCCCACACTGCATTAAAAAGGCAGTCAGGTTTATCAAGGCATGCACGGAGGGACAATACTGCATTAGTAAGAGGGTTGATCATTTGAATTTCTTGGCTCTGGCATGTGTAAAATCTCAACCCTAATTTGCACTATGCAGGTACATTTATAACAGCAATTCCTGGGTTTTCTTTGGTAAGGAAGGACTTTGCTTCAGGAAAATAACACAAAACAAACAAAAACCACGGTATATTTTACTAAATGGTACTGAGAGTGGTGAATTTACATAGTGTGGCCTTGATTTTCTAAATCTCACTAATCTACAGAGTACAAACAGAACCGTAAACAATGTTGAATTTACCAAAGGAACAGGGACACTAAAGATGACAAGACAGGGAATGCACTTCACTTTTCTACACATGATAATTTGTTTATATTTATTTGTTTTAGACAAGAGTCTCACTTTACAAGAAGTAGGCATAGTTTAATTTTAGGCCACGTTGCTGAAATCTGAACTTGGGAGAATGAAAAGCTGTCAGAAATCCGCATCTGGACTATTTCTTTGTGATATAATATGTAGCTGGTATCACATAAAGGGTAAGTTAGGATAACTGTGGGAACTTGAATATAGGTATGATGTACACTTCTACTTACATCTTCAGCTTTTGAACCTTGCTCCTGCAAAGATTTCTGCAATTCTTCAACCTGTGACTGCACCTCCAGAAGTCTCTGATTTACCAGCCTAGAAAACAAGATAGAAATTTTACTTTTCAAAGGGAGTGAATAATTATGTCTATGATTTTTGTCTCTCTTTTAGAGCTTATTTTTCAGAGAGTTTATTTAATTTTAAATATACTGACACTTCAATTCATTCCAAAGTCTGAGACCCACATTTTGTGCCCACCAGTATTGGCCCACTTACATAAGAGATGCAAAGCCACATTAATTTATTCAAAGTCTACAACAGCCTTTAGAGAGATTTTGGCCGTACTCGTCTGCTGTTCCCTACAGCAGTGGTTCTCAACCTTTCCAGACTACTGTACCCCTTTAAGGGAGTCTAATTTGTCCTGCGTACCCCAAGTTTCACCTCACTTAAAAGCTACTTGTTTACAAAAATCAGACAAACATACGAAAGTGTCACAGCACACGATTACTGAAAAATTGCTGACTTTTACATTTTTACCATATAATTATAAAATACATCAATTGGTGTGTGATACTTGAGCCTCTTTTTCTCTTGTGAACCTTATTTGAAGCCCGAGTCCCACTGCCTGGGGCTGAAGCATTTAACTTAGCTTCATGGGGCCCCCAGTTATGTGGGGTTCCAGGCAACTGTCTTGCTTGCCACCCCCTAACGCCGGAGGTGACCATCCTAAACCCATCCGGCAACCCCCAGCTTGAGAAACTCTGATCTAGATGAGTTGAGTACTCCCTGGAAGACCTCTGCGTAACCCCAGGGGTACGTGTATCCCTGGTTGAGAACCACTGTCCTAGAGTATCTCTGTCCATGAACACTTCAGGTATGGATATGCCTCAGATAAGTTTCTTTCCAGTTAGACATCATGGGAAGCTGTAACACTCATTATTAGTGGGTCAAAGATGCCAGCTTTTTCTCTTATGAACCCACACAGTGATGACTTGCCTCCTCTTTCCTATTTCCCACAAAAGAATAAATTTAAAAAATATGTCATTTTAAGCTTATGTCTTTTTCTTTCTTTTAAAAAAAAAGGAGAAAATGACCTAGAAGATTAAAATAGTTCTACCATTTAACAATTATGCAGTATATTTGGTAACTTCAGGTTAACTCATGATTATGAGTAATAGTTTAAAAAAAAAAACAGAGTAACTAAAACAGTTATTTTTTCTGTAAAATACTGCGAAGCCTTGTGGATGAGCCATGACTGCATAACTTATATGCCAAAAAATGTCTTATCTTTTGGACAAAAAGGACAGTTACCTGTTCCGTAACTGGCGTTCTTCGAGATGTGTTGCTCCTGTCTATTCCACAGTAGGTGTGCATGCTCGCCATGTGCACCGGTGCCGGAAGTTTTTCCCTTAGCAGCATCCGTAGTGGGGGAGCACCGCTGCGACCCCTGGAGTGGTGCCTGTATATCGCGCTATATGGGGAGCTACGGGCTCCCCCCACACTCGGTTCCTTCTTGCTGGATAACTCCGACAGAGGGGAAGGAGTGCGGGGTGTGGAATAGACAGGAGCAACACATCTCGAAGAACGCCAGTTACGGAACAGGTAACTGTCCTTTCTTCTTTGAGTGATTGCTCCTGTGTATTCCACAGTAGGTGATTCCAAGCAATATCTGTTGGAGGTGGGTAGGAGTTCATGATGGTTCGAGACGAAGTACCGCCCGGCCGAACCCGGCGTCATCCCTAGACTGGGAGACGATCGCGTAACGCGAAGTAAATGTGTGAACTGAGGCCCACGTGGCCGCCCTACAAATGTCCTGGATGGGGACATGGGTGACGTAGGCAGCTGATGAGGCCTGAGCCCTCGTACAGCGTGCCCTTACAATCGGTGGCGGGGGAATCCCTGCCAAATCATAACACGTGCGTATGCACGAGGTGATCCAGCGGGAAAGCCACTGGGTGGAGATGGGTTGCCCCTTTGCTCGCTCGGCCGAGGCAATAAAGAGTTGAGCGGATTTCCGGAACGGCTTAGTCCGATCCAGATAAAAAGCCAACGCCCTACGCACATCGAGCGTGTGGAGGCGGCGTTCCTCGCTAGAGGAGTGGGGCTTGGGACAGAGCACGGGGAGGAAGATGCTCTGCTCCACATGAATGGCGGAGACCACCTTTGGGAGGAATGTCAGGTGTGGGCGGAGCTGGACTTTATCCCTATGGAAAACTGTATAGGGAGGTTCTGAGGTTAAGGCCCTGAGCTCCGAGACACATCAGGCCGACGAGATGTCCACTAGGAAGGCCACCTTCCACGAGAGGTGTGACCAGGAACACGTGGCCAGGGGCTCAAAGGGGGGTCCCGTGAGCCGGGACAAGACCAGGTTGAGGTCCCATTGCAGCACGGGGGGCCTAGCGTACGGGAACGAACGGTCAAGGCCCTTCAGGAAACGGGAGATCATCGAATGGGAGAAGACCAAGTGGCCTTGCACCAGCGGGTGAAAGGCCGATATGGCCGCCAGGTGCACCCTGACCGAGGCAGGTGCCAGTCCCTGGGCCCTGAGGGATAAGAGGTAGTCCAGGATAAACTGGAAGGGGCGGAAGGGGACACTCCCCACTCACTCGCCCACCTGGCGAACTTGGACTGACGCGTGGACAACTTCCTGCTTTCCAGGAGGACTCGCCTTACCTGCTCCAAACACCGCTTCTCCTCCTCATTCAGCCACGGAGCAGCCACGCTGTCAGGTGAAGTGCGGTCAGATTGGGATGGAGGAGGCGCCCCCGTCCTGGGAGAGGAGGTCCGGGCAGAGCGGCAGCGCCCTCAGGGAGGCCGCTAAGAGGCGTAGGAGGGGCCCGTACCAGTGCTGGTGGGCCCACGCCAGGGCTATGAGAATGACTCTCGCCCTATTCGCTTTCACCTTCTGAAGGACCTTGGCGATGAGGGTAATGGGGGAAAGGCATAGAGGAGCTGGCCTGACCAGCTCAGGAGGAACACGTCGGAGATCGCGCCTTCCCCCACCCCTCCCCTGGAGCAGAACCGAGGGCAACGCCGGTTCTGACGATTTGCAAACAGGTCGATCTGGGGAGCTCCCCACTCTTGGAAGAGCCGGTGAGCGACCTCCGAGTGGAGCGACCACTCGTACTGGGGGGAGAAGACCCTGCTGAGGCAGTCTGCCTGCGTATTGCAGATGCCCGGGAGGTGAGCCGCCCTCAGGGAGATATCGTGGGCTATGCAGAACTCCCATAGGTTTAGGGCTTCTTGGCAGAGGGCTAGGGAGCGAGTCCCGCCTTGCCTGTTGATACAGTACATGGCGGCGGTGTTGTCCGTGAGGACTCTGACCACCTTGCTGCGGAGGTGCGCGAGAAACGCCATGCACACCAACCAAACAGCCCTGAGCTCCTTGACGTTTACGTGAAGGGGCAAGTCCAGGGCCGACCACATTCCCTGGGTTTGCACGTCCCCCGTGTGGGCTCCCCAGCCCAGGTCCGAAGCGTCGGACATCAGGTCTATGGACGGGTTGGCCTCCCTGAAGGGAATCCCTTGCAACATATTGCTCGGGCAGGACCACCATAGGAGGGAAGCGAGTATCGGGGACAGGACTGTGAGAACCTTGTCCAGACCGTCCGGAGCTTGGGAGAACTGGGAGGCCAGCCATAATTGGAGGGGCCTCATACGGAGCCTGGCATGGTGGACCACGTAAGTGCATGCCGCCATGTGTCCCAGAATCTGAAGACAGGCCCTCGCCGTGGTCACCGGGAAGGCCGTGACCGAGGCGATGAGACCTCTTAGGGTCTTGAACCTGTCCAGGGGGAGAGAGGCTGTGGCCCTGGAGGAGTCCAGCAGGGCCCCAATGAACTCTATGCGCTGAACGGGCACTAATGTCGATTTGGTCTCTTCACGACCAGGCCTAGATTGGCGCATGTCGAGGGGAGCAGCTCCACATAGGACTCCACTTCGAAACGAGACTCCCCCTTGAAGAGCGAGTCGTCCAGGTAAGGGAAGATTTGTACACCCTCCCGCCTGAGGTACGCCGCTACCACCGACATACATTTCGTGAAGACCCTGGGAGCTGTGGATAGGCCAAAGGGGAGGACCGTGAATTGGTAATGGTCCATCCCCACCATGAATCGGAGGAAGCATCTGTGTCCCTCGAAAATATGGACATGAAAGTACGCGTCCTGGAGATCCAGGGCCGCGTACCAGTCCCCCGGGTCCAGGGAGGGGATAATAGAGGCCAGGGACACCATGCGGAACTTGGAACAGGTTAGAAATCTGTTCAGGTCGCGCAGGTCCAGAATAGGCCTGAGGCCCCCTTTCGTCTTCGGGATCAGGAAGTACCGGGAGTTCCTTTGCCCTGGAACTGAACCGATACCCTTTCCACCGCCTCTAGGTGGAGCAAACGTTCCACCTCCTGACGCAGGAGGCGGACATGTTCCGGGTCCCCCGGGGCCATCGTGGATGGCAGGTGATTTGGCGGGGGTGAGCTGAACTGCAACACGTAGCCCTTGGAGATAGTACTGAGGACCCATTGGTCCGAAGTAATGCGGGACCACGCCCTGAGGAAGGCAGACAATCGGTTGCAGAACACAAACTTTATTAATCGGGGGGGGGGGGGGGGGTCTCCCTGGCAACAGGCCCGGTGCCTCCCTGCAGATAGTCAAAACCGCCTCTTCCCTTGCCTCTTGCCCTTAGAGGGACCAGGCTGCGGAGCACAGCGGGACTGCCTCTGAGACCGATGCTTCTGGTCTTTGGGCCTTTTGTACGGGGGCTCATATCTGCTCCTCACAGTTTGAGCCGCCGGAACAGATTTGGCCTTGTTCTTAGCCGGGGGACATAGAGGCCCAAGGTCTGCAAGGTGGTGCAGGAATCCTTCATCCCATGCAGCCTGACGTCTGTCAGGTCCGCGAAGAGTGCCTTGCCATCGAACGGGAGGTCCTGCATCAGCGATTGTGCCTCCGTCGACAGCCTGGACAACAAGAGCCACGACGCCCTGTGCATGGTGATCGAGGAAGCCATCGAGTGGGCCGCCGTGTCCGCCGCATCGGACGCCGCTTGCAGGGCCGCTTTTGCCGCTGCCGACCCCTCTTTCACCAGGGCCTTGAAGTCCTTCC